CATTCATTTATTGTCTTGTTAACATTTCCAAAAGGTGATAAAACTAAGTTCTACCAGAAGAAGGTGAGTTAAACATTCATTTATTGTCTTGTTAACATTTCCAAAAGGTGATAAAACTAAGTTCTACCTTTGCTTTAGTAACTACAATAAATTGTTGATTAACTAAAGTACTCAACGGGACTAACTTTATGAAGGAGTGTAATTAGTCTGATGCGTTTAAACATCCTGTCGTTCTCCTAACTGCTTCATTATTCTATAGTGAATAAGAACTGTTCTGTGTCACCTGTGAGAACCATCCACCACTGCTTCACCTAACTCAAAAATCCTGTTTTTGTCAAACAGTTGATAACTGCTGTGTTTTATCCTTCTATAACTAGAAATGAATATATATTTTTATTTGAGTATATCCAAGAAACTTTCCAAAGTTTTTCATATGGGTGTTCTGCAATTAGTTGATGTCTTCATGAACAGAGTATAAATAGCTGTAAACTTCTACTAATACTTGCTGTTGGTTAAGAATATATAATTATATTATTGTGGCTGCTCCATTAAGCTTGTATTTGTTTGGTCATGCTCCTTCTGGGTTGGGGTCATATACAAGTAGAAGAGTGGTACATAGTTTTTTTTTGTACAAGTTAGTATGAGCTGGAAGTTAATTCCTCCTCTCAGATCTGTGTATTCAACTTTATCACTAACATGAAAAAGTAAAGAAAGAACTTTTCAAAAAATGAAGTAAATATAGGGATGGCTAATATCAATCCTTGAAAAACAATGCACAAAAAATAGTAGGGATGGCACACAGTGTAGTAGAATGTTAACAGACAGAAAGAGGATAAATTAAACCCAATTGGGATTGAATAGTTATATATATATTGCTATATGTTAAATGTTGCCTGTGATATTATGGAAGGACGATGCAATGTCATCCCTACTATCTTGTTTGCATTGTTTTTGAAGAATTGATATTAGCCATCCTTACATTTACTTCCTTTTTTAAAGTTTTTTTTACTTGTTTTTTTTCATGCAGTGTTTCAATAGACATAGAAAAGTTGTATTTAAAACCAAGTTTTAAATACAATGATGGTCCACCTGTAATATTTATTGTTTATCTATTATTGGCTGGTAACTTTTTCACCTGATACTTAAGTTTTTAAAGGGAATACCAAATTTCTATAAGAAAACCAGCTTCATAGGGTAATGATAACATTTTTTTACACTAAAATTATGTTGTCGTTTTTAATTAGTTCTAGTTAATAATACATATAGAAACAGATATTCTATTTGAAATTATGTCACCTCAGTGAATTTGGTTGGCACTATTGGTTTGGTTTTTGACTTATGTAATAAAAAACAAAAAAGAAAGAAAAACGAGAAATTGAAACTTTTTGCTATGGATAAACAAATGTAGTTTTGTATTATAATTTGAAGTCATTCTGGAAAGAAAAAAGTGTAATTTACAATTATTTCGATTTTTTTTGGTGGTTACGAGGTCTATCAAATTAACCAACCTTGTATAAAGTTAGGGTAGAGAAAATAACAGATAAAATATTAAGTTTTACTTAAAAGAAATACCTTTGAAATTTATTTAGGAGGTTTTAGAGATTATGCAAATAAAATTTGAGATTTTTGTGATGAAGAAAAGTATTTTTAATCTTAACATGGAAATCACTTTGCACTTGGACTAGTATACAGAAATACTATATATATATGTTCATGGACAAATCTTTAACAAAAATACTGCATTAAAAAGTCTGAGTTTTTGTGTACAAAAGACTTTTAATGTTTACTAAAAGTATGCCAAATTTTATGAAGATACACAAAGTGTAGCCCCCAGTGGGACAGTAGTATGTCTGCAGACTTACTAAAAGCCAGGTTTTGATATATGTGGTAGGCAGAGCACAGATAGCCCATTGTGTAGCTTTGTGCTTAACTTCAAACAAATACAAAGTGTATTGAAAATTATATTATGAAAACTATAATGAGGACAAAATGGTTACGAGGTTGGTCAAATTGACCAACCTCGTAGCAAGAGAGTTAACATGTAACAAGACTTTAAACCTAACTATGTGGTGATTATTTTCTTCACGTGTTCCCCTATTTCAACTCTTTTTTTATTCACATCCTTATTAGTGGTTAACAATAAATCTAAAATGGGATCCCTTCTGATTGGCTCTTTGATTATTTGATATAGAAAACCATCTTGAACCACTCCAAGAAACTTTGGTCTCTCATTACTTGACTCCTCACAATCCTATGCAAGATATCTGAAATTAAAGACACCCATGATAATTGTATCAGTATCCTTATTACCTTTACAAAAGTTAACTTTCTGTTTTATCATTGTTGCTGAATGTCTACTAGATGCAAACCTATTGCATTATGAGTTACTGGAACACTTTCAGGTACAAAACTCATTTCCATAAACAAGGATCCACTGTATCACGTTTATACTTTCAATTGTTGTACTGGCCTTCTGTAGTCAGTCTTATTCAGTTGACCACCTAACAAATGGTGGATTTCATTGGAGACAAAAGACAAGTATATAGGGGGTGTCAGAAGATCCAAATTTTGAGGTTAGTGGTTCCACTGATGTACTGAAAGGCATGGGACTTTTCTGGAACCCATTTCTTATGGAAATCTCCCTGACCTGACTGAGTTGATGGTTTTCAATTCTCAGGTATGTCTTGACAGTGATTCAAACTCTTTATTAGTATGTCTGGAAGTCCGTGTAGAAGATGTTGAAAGATACCTCTGCGTTTCATGGTTTAGATCTGTGACCTGGATTTCTATTATTGAATAAATAAAAACAAATAAACATGAACAAAGTAAAGAAAATAATGTAACTCTGTAGGTAATATAGTTCCAGTGATAAAATATGAGCAAACCTTCTTCATGAAACAGCCACAGATTCATACATAGCATGACAGACATCCTCAAGATGGGGACAGAAAACTAATATTATTGGTGATGACCCTGAATTTACCTAATTGATGATTTTTTGAGCAATTTTCTGACCTGATGTTCCCTGTATTTACTCTGTCCTTCAATGGTTGCCAGTTAACCCTATGTGAATGTTGTTGGTGCATTGCACCAAGCCCTATTTCTGTGTATCTAGACATAACAAAAATTTTTTGGCCAAATAATTCAGAAACTGTCATCACAAAGGGTTAGCCCTAATAGGAAATTCAGTAAATTAGAATTTTATCTTTTTATTGTTATAATTAATTCAATAAATTCCAAAGAGAATTACTGACATTGTTTGAAAGAGAGAATGTGATGTGAGGGCATGGCATGTGGGTTTCACTTTCTGGTTTATATCTGATAAAAAAAAAATATTGGAGGCTATAATTTTACATTATGTTATAGCAATATGTTACTATAAGTGTTTAATTTGTGCAAAACTGAAAAGATTATATAGGGGTAGTAATAATATCTAAAATGGACAATTTGGAGCGATGAAAGTGTCACATGATACAGAGAAGTAAAGATTGAGAATTTATTTAAATATTTCCTTTTAAAACTAAGAAATGAAAGCATATATAATATTTAAATTTAAATTATAAACTACATTTTGATGCCAAATTTGAATGTAACTCTGTAAAAAGGTTGTGATGTGCTCTTTAACCCTGCCATGCCCATAAGTTTAGTATTTGGTGAATTACTTTCTACGCAGGGAAAGCAGTTAACCTATACAATATTATAAGTCTATTATAAGATTTTCTTCTCCAGGAGAGCAGTGTCAACATTTTTCTTAACAACAACAACAACAAAAAAAAAAACATTTGTAGATGAAACTTCAAGTAGTCTACAATTTTGGAAACTTTAAAACTGTGGTTGAGATTAGAAGAAAAGTAATTATTTTAAGAACCGTGAAAAAAGGTTATTAAATATGAACTATGGTTATAACAGACAAACAAAACGTATGAGTTGGTGGTAAGGTGGGTCTTGAGATCAAGAATACCTAGACCACCTCATTTAGGTGGGAGATTTAACACTTGTCATTTAACCCTCTCCAGACGGGCCATGTCAGAGTTTGTTGACTCGTATTCAAAATTTATTGAACTACTATTTTATGAATTTATGTCAGTAAGTTTGGTATCAAACTATAGATTATAATTCAAATTTTACTATTATACATTATTTTATTTCTTAATTTAAAATTAACTATTAAAAAAACACAGTTAAACATTGGTTTGTGTGTGTGTCACGTGGTATGTTGAATGTAGCACTGGTTCACATTAGATGTTTGTGATGTCAAAATGCTAAGTCTCTAGTTTTGTATAAATTAGGTACTCAAATAAACAGTATTGACAAGCTAGAATAAGAACCTCCTATCTTTTCTATTTGCTGATATATCACTCATATATAATGAATCAAACACAGTGGCTCCGCTCACCTCTTTCCATTTTTCAAAATGCTCCCTTATATACACTTACTTCAATATATGAAGTGAATAAACATTTGAAAGCTCAGAAAGTCCCCCTAGTGGCTTTCTCAATCATTTTCATGTGTTAGGACACCATCTTTTTCTCTCGAACCAAGATTTCAAGGAGGTAGGTTCTGTCTTTAGTCTGCCCAAAATATCATATTTTTTTTAGACCCAACTGCAGCTTAGTTACTAAGCTTGATAAATTATAGTGGAATTCTGTAGTACCAATATAGTAATTTAGGATGTATTGGTTATTCAACTATATATATATATATATAAAACTTTAAAAAAATATTTTGTTTCATATCCTCCAAGTTCAAAATTTTAAAAGGCTTAGCAACCTACATCAAGCAGCAACCGAGTTCAAAGGTTGTAACTAGAAGAGATAATT